CTTCAGATCCTCCGTTTCCGATTCTCCATCCAGATCCAGACCAAGCGCTTCATCCACGTCAATTGAATTACATTCAACTGCCTTATCCTCCAATTGTCCACGCCCAGCTACCACCGGTGGTTGCCATTCCGGTGTATGCACTGACGATTCCGGGCTGAAGTTTATATAATTCGCACTTTGCTTTTGTTTAGAATATGAAAATCCCTAGGTGATCGATGCGGGTATCCCATGTTTATAAATGGTATTGAGATACTCCTATATGTCAAGCATAGCTATGCTGGGCCACTTGAAAGCTATTTTTTGCGCATTTTTTCAAATATCTTTTTTTTGACTTGTTCGATGTATGTGCCCCAAAAACTGATAGCAATTTCCCAGTTTCCTTTAAGAGGAAAAACTCCACACCGCCGGCGATTTCTTCCAAATTCGTCAATTTCTTTAGGGAAGCTATCGAAAATTGCTTAAGCTTACTTTACGGATCTATATTATCCCATTTTGGTTTTTTAGATTTTATAAATTTTTTGAGGTAAAACAGTTTTTTCCAGATACATCCGGAAAAATGGGGGAATGCTAATTCCGTTACATAATTTTGGAAAATCTCAGATATCTCAATGGTTTCTCCGAAATTCCCCTGAAAAAAAGCGAAATTTTGATTTTCTTTTTTGATAGATTGATAATAAATTGCCTTTGAGCTAAGTTTTCAGAACAGCGAAGTTTTGTTTTGACTTATTTCTCTCCTTTGATTTTTTTTTCCACTTTTTTGAAGCGAAAAAGCTTTTTCCCCAGAATTGTCCAGAACACCGAGGGAAAGCTAATTTTGTCATATGCATTTGAGCAAGCTATTTGCCCATCAATAATGCAAAATGGCAATATGAAAATAAAAATATGTCAAAATGGAGGGGACAAATGTACCCTTAGTGCCTCGCTTCGAACGTCTGGCACCAAGGGAGCAATAAATTACTTTCTTCGGACCCTTTTGAGAGGCAAATTTTGTGTGTGTGACACAAACAGAAATATGTACATCAATTGGATGCAATATTGAGAACAATATGCATGTACGAAAGTGTATATTTGTGTGTATGTATGTATGTATGTATGTGTGTATGCGTGTATGTATATATGTGTGCGTGTATGTGGGAATGTATGTATGTATTTGTATATGTACTTATGTATGTACGTATGCTGTATATGTGGGTGC